GGATTGTCGGGATGAAGAGATTCAGGCTGGACAGAGTGATCAGGATTGTCAGAGGTGTGGAAAGGTAGAAAAGGGTAGAAAAAATGAGGACTAATAAAAGACTTTAGCTTTGTTAAGTAGGACATCCTTGGTGATTTCTGTGAGAGAAGTTTCTGTGGCATTCTGGGAAGAGACGGCTGGATTGTAAGGGATCAGGGAGATACAGGGCCATGAAGAGGTAAAGCCAGCAAGATCACATAATCTGCATTTTGTTATGGCTTCAGGTTTTTTGAAGGGAGTTTGGCAGTATAAGAGTAGGGAATGGGGAACATGAAGAAGCAAAGGATTCTAAATAAAGGACATAGCAACGCTGATGCAGTGAGCCTTTATGGACTTGTCTGGAAGCCAACCGTTTTATAGCATATTACTTATGTGAAAAATACGCAAATAATTCTGGGTTCTAAACAACTGATCTAGATGTGAACTTTTAGAAAATAAAATCTGCTTGTATGTTGGGGTTGCCTATATTGAAAATGTCTTGGCCACAATATTTAATTAAACTTTACTGATTCTTCAGAAGTTTATGTTATATTGCAAATTCTTACAGGTTTTAATGCTGACACTACAGAATGATCCTCCTTCTTTGGAAACTGGTGTTCAAGATAAAGAAATGCTGAAAAAATACGGGAAATCATTCAGAAAAATGATCTCATTGTGTCTTCAAAAAGATCCAGAAAAAAGGTAAAATAGCAGATAAAGCTTACTTTTCTCTTCATGTAATATGTAAACCATTGTGGGAAGCCTAAAATGACATACATACATGCACAGGGAATTATTTATGTGTATTCAAAGGGACTTTCTTAAGTATAAACATTAGAAAAAGTATACAGAGATTACTATACTAGATTGGAAATGATCGAATTAACTTCTCCGTTCCTTTCAGTATATTACCTACCTAAATAGCTCAGCTATTTTCTGGTGGACTTCTTATGATTATAAAATTATAGGTCATGAATTCTGTATTAATAAAATGTCAGGTTAGTGGGAGGGGCTTGCTTTCAATTTGCATTTAAAAGTTCTATATAAACAAATATTTTGATGGCTGTTTACAATTTTAATACCAAAAGAAATAGACATAGAAAATGTTGTATTTAATGTCAAATAATCATACTCATTTCCTTGTTTGAAAGATACTTCTGTAAGCAGACCAAAAAGCCAAATAGCTAGACATCCTGGCTGGATAAGAAAGCATCTTTATAGATTAAACAGAATCATAGGATGTTGGAGATTATTGAGTAAAACCTTTTATCATATCTTTGAGGAAACGGAAGTCACTCTGCTTGCTGCCTTCCTGGTTAACCTGAGTCGCGTAGAGCTGGGGTGTGAATCCAGAACTCATGGTTGTGCATCTCAGGCTCTGTTCCCAATGTTTCTGTTTCACACACATATTCCACTCTTTTCCTTGCACCAAGAGTTCTTTAATTTTGCTTTCTCTAAAGATCAATAAAAGAAAAAGATATTATTGGACATTTTGTTCATGTCTTTAGTATATTTAATGGGGCTTTGGGATTTACTGTTGGAAATATTGGAAAGGGTCAGAAAGACAGAGGCCCCAAAGTTCATACTTGCGTTTTTAGGATTTTTTTGTTTGTTTTTGGATAAATGGTTAAAAAGTAAGGAATAGTTTGGTTCTGCCAAGTTTGTTGACTTAAATAAAAATTCTCTTGTTACAAACACCTAGAAATGCCAGGTAAAATGTATCAAACTTAAAAAAATCCAAAGGTGAGCTTGCGAGAAGGGGAGGTCCTCAGCTGCTGGAAACATGAGGGAGTTGTAAGTTAGCAAAGGAGCATGAGCTGCTGTGTGACCACCCTCAGTCACCTAATGGCTTGGGTTTCTAACTCCCCCGTGCAGACTGGAGGTGAGATCTTGGGCCCAGCCCACTCATTTTGAACTGAGAGCTCTGCTTTTAAAGCTAGGACCTTCCAAAGTCTTTATCCTAAGTAAAAGTGCAGACTGGGGGAAAAATCTGTCCATCAGCACAAAGAGACAACAAAAATCTCCCCTGCGTGATCAAGCCCTCTGACCTCGACATTCTGCAGAGGTAGTCTGAATTTATCCTACATGTGGTGTTCAGGAACCCACAGAATTCTGAAGTACAAAGTATCCAAGCCAGCAAAGCCAGCCCTGCTCACTGTACAGCCAGAAGGTGGCCCACTCTTGGAGAACATGCAAGGGGTGGAAGCAGTACCAAAAAAAAAAGGTGTCCTCCTGTTTAAAAGTGGCCTTTTTCTTGCTTCAGCATGTGGTCAGTTGCTGCAGACCTCCCTTTGCTTTTCAGAGTTCTTGAACAGAGTTGAGGTTGCAGATTTCTGGTTGCTTTGCTTGTTGGTTGTGTGAGAGATAGGGATTGGGATGGTGGACCTGCTCATGCCACCATCTTCCTGAAAGCCCGAATTTCGTTTCTTCAATTTTTTATTGAAGCTTTAAGTTTATATGTAGTCTGATGTATTGGTCTTTTTCCTTACGGTTTATAAAAACCAAAACCCAAACCCGTTGCTGTCAAGTTGATTCCGACTCATAACAACCCCGTAGAGCAGAGTAGAACTGCCCCATAGGGTTTCCAAGGAGCAGCTGGTGCATTTGAACTGCCAACCTTTTTGGTTAGCAGCCAAGCTCTTAATTACTGCGCCACCAGGGCTCCTTATGGTTTATTGTTATTACTAAAATGTATGTTCTTACGGGTGTTTAGTTTTGTTTTGTTTTGTTTTAACATTTAAATCTTCAGGAGTTTATTAATGCCGAATGTGAGGTAAGGCGCTCATGTTAACTTTTGTTCCCCAGTGGTTGATCATTTCTTCCAACAGTTCAGTGATTGGCAGTGCACCCTTGAATTCTTGCATGCAGCTGCTTAGGTCTTTTTGGTGTCCCGTTGGCGCGGAGTATTGTCCACTTGTGTTGGTGTCACAGTTGTCATTATTACACGTTTTGATAGATGGTAGAGCAGGTTCTTCCCCACCCCTGGCTTTTTCCCCCCAAATTTTCTTATCTAGATTGAGTATACATTTTTCCAGATAAACTTCAAGGTGATTTTTTTAAGTTAAAAAAAATTTTTATGATTATGGTGGCAACTGTGAAAAATTTCTAATTTAGGAAGAACCTGACTAATTTTTATGCCATTACATTTATATAGCACTTTTCAGTTTGCATAGCTCTTTCAAATTTATTCTGTTTTAATCCTTCCAGTAATCATCTGAGGCACTGGTTCTAAAGTTTGAATGCAAACTGGAATCACCTGGGAGTTTTACAAACTACTGATGCCTGGGTCTTCGCCTCAGGGTTCTGCTCTCATTGGTACAGAGTGCACTCTGGGCACTGGGGAGTTTAAAAAGCACTCAGGAATCCTAATGTGCCCTCAGGGACGTAGCCAGGGAGTCCCGAACCTTAGAGAAGCTGTGATTTTCTCAGGGTTACACTGTAGGTACGCAGGGAAGTCAGACCCCGTCTCTAGGTGGAGTGTTCTTTATTCTTTCCTCTGAATCATATTCTCTTAAAGGTTGGTAAAATTGACAATGTCATCTTCACTAAAAACAAAATAAGACTGTGCACAGTTGAGTTAGAAACTGAGTTTAGGTTAAATTTGGGGAATATGCTTTTACAGCCTCAATTTTTTGAAGAAAATGGTAAAATCTAATTTTAAGAATCTGTAGTTACTTATATTGAAGAGTGGCAGGCGGCCATACAGCGGGACGCCCAGGGTTTGGTCTGTTTCCTCTTTGTAAGTCCGTATGTTTTATGACTTGGTAAGGTAGGTATTCTCTAATGTACTTCTTAGAAATAATATTTAATAACAAATATATTGGAAGCCACTAAGAAGTCATGCTTCCAAAAGAAACATTTCACGAATGAAGTTTTCAAACAATCGATCGTTATTATTATCAGAGCATTTGTATTTGAGCCTTTTATTCTGTTCAGTGTCTTGTACCAGGTTCATCCTACTTTTTCCTTTTTTAGCAGATTAGGGTAAGTGGGGTATGCTGAGTTTTTACCTTGCTCACAAAGTCATTTTATCATTTTTGAAGATGGAAACCCACATTACACTTGAATTAACTATAAAAACTTTGTTTTCTGGTTTTAGACCAACAGCAGCAGAACTGTTGAGGAACAAATTTTTCCAGAAAGCAAAGGTAGGAAACTCTCGCTTTGGATTGTGTGTGTTCACATGATGCCTCTCGGTTACCCAGATTCCGTTCATGTTTAGAAGCTGCGTTTCTTAAGATGATTGCAAGACTGATAGTAGATCAGTAACTGCTGAGGGCACTAGCTACACGTTCTTTGGAAATTAAATGCTTTTCTAAAATTAAATTTGGAATTTAGTAAATATATTTTTTCATATAAATTAATTTAGATGGGTCAGACTTACAATATGAATGATGAATATCAAATTTTGCCGTTATAAATATAATCTGTGAAAACATACTGACCTCTCATTTCAGGGCTCACTACTGAATTAGTAAGCATCCCATTTCCCAAAGATACCAGTTAGGTGGGATGTTACTGTAGTTGGAAGTGTGGGACCGTGATCCCAAAGGGCATATGGTAAAGCAAATTTCCAATAGATAATGGTTCAACACAGTTCAATAAAGCTCTGTACCAAGTTATAAAAGCATTTATAGGAGTACTAATGAACTAAAAGAACTTCAGAGTAAAACAATGGAAGTTTTTCTGATACTTTTTATAAAATAATTACTGTATCACGTTTTAATTGTAGTAAGCATTTCTACAAAAATTTTTGGTTCGATGAAACTTCCGATAAGAAGGAAATACTTATTTTTTCCTTGCCAGAATAAAGAATTTCTTCAAGAAAAAATACTACAGAAAGCACCAACCATTTCTGAAAGATCTAAAAAGGTAAATGGGGATTTAACTCAGTTTTTTTCTTGGGAAATTGCTTTGAGTAGATTTATTTTATTTTAGGGTTTAGAAAGTATACGTTAAGTAACAGTTTGTTAGCAGTATATGAGTAGCACTCATTTTAATCTTTTCTATAGAATTCTTTGATAACCTAATTTAGCAAATAATCACTATAGCTTTCTTTTATATCTTAATTCAGCAAATAGATAGTACTCTGTTATACTAGAATGAAAAGGTATGTTACACAATAACGGATAAATTAATTATAATTAATTACCCTGTTAAATCACTATTTCTGACTACCAGAGTGAGTTGTGACTTTACACATGGTATTAATAGCTTTGTTTGTAAGTCACAGTACCCACTTCTGACTCCATATGCTCTATTGCTTTGACTTAAGTACCAAAGGAACCTGGTTATGCATATATAATTTCTGAGAAGTTTGGTTATAATGCAAGCCAAAACTAGAGAATGCATTAAGATTCTAGTTTGGGCAAAATATGAGTTTTCCCTACCATGATACATTTACGAACCTTTGGAACAGTAGGGAGGGGAAAATCCTTCCGTTTCCTCACTCTTCTCTGCTCAGAGCAGACTGATTCAATGTAAAGGAAATGAGGCAGTCTGGTCTTCTGCTGATGGTGGACTTGAAGAAGGTAAAGCTGCTATACCTCATATAATGCAGTGGTAGACCAGCCCAGGAAGGTAGAATAATTTGTCTTATTCTTTTTCATAGATCTCACTGCTTGGGAATTCTAATAAAGAACCAGAAAAGTATATTAAACACTTTGAAATGATATTCTTGCTAAGTAATGATAGCAAAAGTAACCTGTCTGTACTTTAGGGGTATTTCCGTGTAGAGATTAGGATATCAAATCTGGTTTTCAAGAGTTCTTGAGAAACACCAACAAGTTAATTTTGGTTTCCAGCTTTTTCCTTAGACTTAAAGTGTTGGCACCTCCCTTCTGGACATTTTTTGCTTCCTACCTCAGGACCTTTGCATTTGCAAAGGAGTTCTTTTTCCTGGGATGTTCTTTCCCTAAATCAGTATTTATCATCCGTTGTTGTACAACAGAATCACCTGGGGACTTTACAGACAAAAATCCACTGTCAGCCTAAACCAGTGGGGTTAGTGTCTCTGTGGGGTGGGGACGAGAGATTACTGTCACCCTAAACCAGTGGGGTTAGTGTCTCTGTGGGGTGGGCACGAGAGATTACTGTCATCCTCAACCAGTGGGGTTAGTGTCTCTGTGGGG